AGTGGGTCTGCGGAATCTTTCCTGGGGTGGCTCCCCTCCTCCCCAGCAGCTGCTCCTCGCTGGGCAAGCTGGGCTCAGAAAGTCCTTGCTGACACTCAGCATCTCAAAGATCCCCACTGGATCCTTCCCACGTTTATGGAACGTAGTCTTTTTAGGCAGTCTTCGCTCGTGGGGCTAAATATTCCATCTAGCCACCAGGGCGAGGATGGACCCTGCCTTGGTTCTCTGGGTGGGCTAACTGGAGGGGGCGGACCGCAGGCAGCAGGCGGCGCCCTCCTCAGCACAGGTCCTTCCTGTCCTTCCAGGCAGCGCTGATCCTGTCAGGGCTCCTGTGGACCCACACTGATCCTGGGGTCCTCTGAACCCTCCAGATTACTTTCACCTGCTCCCTCTGTGTGCTTTGGGATCTGAGTGCAAGCGTGCCCCTTTGCCTCTGTCTGTTACCCACCAGGTGACATGGCTGCAAGGGGCTGTAGTTGGGGTCTTGGATTGGCTCTGACTCATGGGTTGGGCACAGGTGGTCTGTGGGTTGGGATGAACGGAGTCAGAGTGGAGCTCTGAGCTGTGGCCATTAGGTTTGCCCTCATGCTGGACCAGAGAGTCAGGCCACAATCTGGACCTGGGGTGAGGGCACTTGATGGGCTGGTGTCCTGCCCTGGGAGGGGGTGCCCCCGCCCAGCCTCTCCTGTGCTCCACCTGCTGCTCTCCTTTGTGGAGGTATTTTTCGCCCATTTGCACATGAGTGGACTGGCGCCCAGAGAGGGGAAGGAGGCAGTGGTGGAACCTGTGTGTCTGGGAGCAGTTGAGGTGCCTCCGCTGTGTGCGGCACAGAGGCACACAGAGCCTCTGGAGGGGGTGGCTCCCTCCCTTGGGGTCCATCTCAGAGGACCCTCACTTTGGCCTCACTTTCCCATTACTTCCAGGCAAACCCATCCCTGACAATCCCAGACACCTTGGGCCTGGCTGAGATGACCTCTGTGCCTCAGGCCATGCTATCTACGACTCCGGGCTCCCAGCAAGATGACAAGAAAACCGGGAGAGCTGGGAAGCATCCCCCAATAACCTAGCCCTCTGGCCCCTCAGCTCAGGCACCAGGCTAGGGTCCCTGCCCAGCAGGCTGTGGGACATTTCCAGCCTTTTGGTGGCCAATTTGCATCCCCAGCTGACCAGTCCTCCCCGAATCATGGGCAGACACTGCATGGGGAGCTGCATGACCTAGTGCAAGTTCCCCACTGCTATGGGTGTGAGTTTCTTGCAAAACCTGCTTGGTGACCTCCTGACTCCCCCAGCTGCTACTTCAAGACTGGACGGCTCCAGCCAGACCCCCCAGCCTGTGGGCCAAGATGCTGAGCAGTCGGACCTGCAGCTCTGAGACCCGAGACCCCCAGGCCAGTCCCTCCAGCCACAAGCTGCCTCTGCGTTCACCTGACACAACGTGGACATTCTCTTCCATCTGCGCCCTCCGGGGGGAGGGGCTGGTAACCAGCCCTCATCATTCCCTTGTGTATCTACCTCTTCTAGGCTTTTCCTCCTCCCGGAGCCCCCCTTCTCCAAAATCCCCTCATCCCGCTGTCTGGGAAGCTGCCCTGTCTATCCCTTCTTCTGGCCATGAGGACCTCTGGTGCTTCCAAGGGCTGGCTATTGGTGCCTGTCTCCTGTCAGTGGGCCAAGTGTGTGGGTCTGTGTGAGCATGTGTGTTAGTGTGTGGGTGTGCATGTGACTCTGCCTGAGTGTGGGTGTGTATGAGTGTGTGATGCAGGATGAGTGTGGAGGGCAGGGAACACATTAGTGTTATGTGAGTGTGTGCGTGAGCATGAAGGAGTGGGTGATGGTGTGGGTGTGCATGTGAATGTCAGTGTGTGCATGTGTAAGAGCATGTGAGTGTTCTCACGAGGGTGTGTGGATGGCTGGAATTGTTAGTATCTATGAGTTTGTGTGCTGTGTGTGTTGTGTGCACATGCATAAATGTGGGTGAGTGTGTCTGAGACTGTGAGTGTGCATGGGTGTGAGTGCATGAGTGTGCTTAAACAGATCACGGTGTTGCACCTGGAGCCAGAGCCCAAGGTCTGAGTACTGCTGCCCATGGCCTCCACGGCTGTCCTGGCACAGCACCTGCCCCTGCCCCAGTCCCCGGGTGGCTGCTGGTGCCCCGGGCTGCAGGAGTGAGCCGCCAGGTCTGAACAGCCGGAGTAGAGCCGGCCGGGCCCCCTCTAGCTGTTGGGCTTACCTTGTCTGAGTAGATGGACATGCGGGTGGTCAGCCCCAGGACAGGGATGCGGTAGAAGCCGGCTGTGTAGGACACGGGGGTGGGAGTGAAGTGGTCGTTGGGGGTAGGTGGGTGGCTAACTAGGATGGCGTAGACCTGTGGACACAGGGGACAGGATCAGCTGGCGCAGGGGAGCAGGTGGAGCTGCTATCCAGAGGCAGCGGAGGTGGGGCGGGGGCTGTCCGGGGGCACTTGTGCTCACACAGCCCCAGGAGCACGTATCCACGAGGCAGGGGCGCAGGACTCCCTAACCATCTTCTGAGTGTAAATGAATCATAAGTGTGAGTCAGAAGTGGAGAAAGACCACGAAGGCACGCAGGAAGACCACAGACCACCCCATGATCCCCTGTCCTCACACTGGAGGGCTGCCCTGAGGTGTGTGGTGAGGCCCTGAGACCCCAGTGCCGGCTGTGGGGACTCACACCCAGACCACCCAGTGACCTCAGCCTGGGTCAGAGATGGGTGGGGGCCAACACTCCAGAGCTGGAGGGCAGCGCCAGAAGGTCTGTGTGGAACATGGCAGACCAAGCATTAGCCAGAGGAGCCGGCAAGGAGCCACCCAGAGGCCACTGCTGGTGTCTTCCAGGGGCAGGCTGAGCTCTGCCCGGTTTGGGCAGGCCCCAGTGCTGACTTGGGCACTGACCACATCCTCAAGGATGCCTGGCCTTCCTGCCTGCACCAAGGCACCTGCAGGCAGGTCTGACGCTGGTGGCTTGGTCCCCTAGGCAGGGAGTCTGGACAGGTGGCTTGGCGGTTCCCTGATGCCCTCACATTAGAAGGACCGGTGTCTGTCCCAATCTGCCTTCTCCTCTCTGAGCCACAGGGCCCACAGCACGCAAACAGGGTGCAGGCTGCACGGACCTCACATGGTGTAGGCATGCACAGTGCCTGGACCACAGGGTGTGACAGTGAGTGACAGCTGCTACTATCACCTTTGCTCCTGGCACTGGCTGTTCCCTGCGGGGATGGTGCCCACAGACAGCCAAACTGAGTAAGTTGGAGGAGGGATTCCCAGAAGGGGCCCTACCTGGACTCCCTATCTCCACCTCTTCGTGTCCCTCCCCCATCCCAGGTGGGGCATGTGACCGAAGTTGCTGGCCACAGAGACTCCACCCACTCCTGTCCTGTGGTGCCCTGGGCTGGAGCATGGGGAGAGGCTTGTGAGACGGGGAGTTTTCCCAGCAGAGCTCTGGCCTGGCCTCACAGTTGGAGCTGTTTGGACTGGTTCGCCCTCCCTTGGCCCTTCCCTCCAGTTTGCGCCCAGAGGTGCCTGGTCAGTCTTTGCATGAGCGTGTGTGTGTACACGTGTGATCATACAGATACTGACAGTGTGTGCTGGGACATGCATGTGTACACTGCGTGCCAGCATGTCTCTACACGTGCATGTGTATGCATGATTGAATGTGTGTGAGCACCTGTTTTGGAATGTGTGGCACATGAGGGTGTGTGTCTATGGATATGCACATGTGTGGGGGCAAGTGTGTGTGTGAACGAGCATGTGCAATTGACTGGAATGCTGATGTGCGTGAGTGGGGGCTAGTGTTAAGTCTGCATCTCTGGGCACAAACATGGGTGAATATGTGCACATGTGAGCATGTGTGTCCATAGATATGGTGTGCCTGTCAGGGAAGCATTGTGAGCAGCACTGGCACCTGGGTCAGTCCTGCCTCTTACATAAAGGGCTGCATTGCAGTGATCCCGTGGCTTCATTGGAATTCAGCAGGCAGCACAGCCCAGGGGCGGACAGCTCCGACAGGCAAAATCCCGGAGCCGTGTCCTCCCCCGCAGCGCTGGCTGCTGGTGGCTGCCATGCTGTGCCCGGATGCCTCCCACACTCGGAGGGCCTGTTCCTACCCTACGGAACACCCTGCTTCAACACCTGGGCCATTTCGCATCTCAGGCAGACCTGTGGATGGGGGAAGGGGAGGGAGGAAGGGAAGGAGATCTCCAAGCAGAAACAAAGATGGCCTCAGGCCCCATCCAGTTTAAAGCCCTACAGTTGTGCATGGGGCTGGGACAGGCACCAGAATGCCCGCCCACAACACTGATACACAGTGACCAAACAAACAGGCCACATGTCTGCACATGCCACTCTGGGCCTTGAGCCCTGGAACCCTTGTGAGGACAAGCCAGGATGACAGGTGACCAGTCTGGAGCTAAGATGGGGAACTGGCAGACACTGGTGTTTGGCTGCTAATGAGACCAGCCCTCCGGGATCCTCTCCTAAGGGGAGGGAGCTGGCTAGGAAAGGATGGAATGAAACTGGGACAGCGGGAGGGATGGAGGGTGAAGGAGGGAGGATGGTGGGGGGAGGGGCTGGAACTGGCGCAGTGTGAGCCCTGGGGGTGCTGGCACCTGGCTGGAGATGAGGTCTTCGCACACGGACAAGGCCATCTGGATGGCGTTGGGCTTGTGGGTGACGGAGGTGGCGTTGAGCTGGATCTTCCAGGAGCCATGCCGCTTGTTGGCCTGGTTCACAGCCTCGCGGAACATCTGCTCGTGCTTCCGCGTGCTCAGTACCGCGCCGATGTTAACGATCTTGGGGTCGCAAGCGGCTCGGGCGAAGGAGCAGGAGAAAAGCAGGGCGAGTGTCAGCAGGCGCATGGTGCTCATGGGCTCCGGGCAGCGCCCTGGCTCTGGGCAGTGCGAACGCGGGGCTC